TGGTAAACCTGCCTGTTGTATTCCCCGCCTGGGAAAAACACCCCACACCCCATAACAAACCGGACAATAAGCTCAGACAACCCCCCCCCTCCCCCCCCCCCCCCCCCCACACACACACACACACTAGGCAAGGTGCTAAGTTCTGCTGAAAGGTCGGGACGCCGTCCTTGGATAATGGTAGGGAAAACACTGCATGTGTTTCCAGGTGTGATTGTTACTTCTGTGTAGGTGTATTGGTGCATGATGAAACTTTCAGCTGTATATGTTGTAGTTCTAGTTCCAGATAATAATATTCTCACAGGAGAAATTTGTGTCTTTACCATATTTAGCAACAGGCTAGTTTTTACCTGTAGTTCTTATCATACTTCTAAGGGTCAGAATTCAACATGCAGAGTTAGTGTCCTCATTTAGATTATTAATGATCTCCTTTTAGAGAACGCTTCTCAATAGTCTATGATTTAAACCCGTTTTGTTTATCGCCGTAGACCACACTGATTATAGCCTGCAGGATCTTATCTGTTCTGAACTAATGAAGGTGATCAATCATCAGATTCTGAACAAATACTTTAGGAGGTGGGGGGCTATGATAGAATCAAACAGAACATCTGAGATCAGGACTGGAGACTCAGAACGCAACTTTTTTTTTTTTAAGTTTTTTTTACTCCGTAAACAGCTGTGAAGGAAAGTCTGTTTCCTGTTCCTCTTTAGATAACAGGAAGTGATGTCATCAACTTCCTGTGTGTTAGAGGTGACAGAATCCATGATGTGGAGTAGTTACGAAACTTCATCAGACTCCTGATCAACAAATGGTATTGGGATCCTGCAAAATGGATCCCTCTGAATGTGACGGTTCTCAATCATTAACAAATTATCACTGATCATAAAGTAAGTAGTCAATAATCAGATCCAAAGTTTAAACACTCATTGTTTTGTCCTCCCACACCTTTTGTGATGAACACTTTCAGCTTTGTTTTAAAGAACCAGAACTCTTGGTTCCTGCAGAAATTGGTCAGAGACAGAAGAAGGAATCATGGTTGGAGTCAGAACCAAGAAACATCTGAGTAAAGTTCCAAGGATCGTTTGAAACAAAGAGAAACATGAGCAGAGTCAGAACCAGGAAGAATCTATGGAACATGGCAAAAAGATGTCCTGACTGGATCAGAGGTAGATTTAAGAAAAACTTTTAGAAGAATCTGGTGATCAGAGTTACTTTCTGAGAAATGTTCGGACTGTCCGCGTCAGAACAAAGAGAAATTTAACACGTTCTGAGGAATGTTACAACTCTGACTGTCAGAACCAAGAGAAACCAAACCCGAGAACGTTTCGAGAAACATTGTGACCCGTTTGTTCAAAACGAAGAAAAACATGAGCGATGTTCCAAAGAATGTTCCCACTCTGTCAGCGTCAGAACTTAAAGAAATCAGAGGGAAGTTCTGGGGATTGTTCTGTCTATCAGAATCAACAGGAACCTGTGGAATGCTGGGAGAAAGGTTCTGATTGGTTCCGTGTCACAAACGGAGAGATTCTTGGAATGATCTGAGTAATGTTCAGTCTGTCGGTCAGAACCCAGAGAAATCCAAGATATGTTACAACTAATGTTAAACAGCTTTTTGATCAGTTGGAGCAACAATAGAACTTATTTGAAAAACAATTACTTAAGCTATAAAAATGTGACTGTAAAAAAATAATGTAGGCTAAGTTTATTTATTTATTTATTTATTTTTTTTGACACACTGATGTTGCCATGCTTATTTACACTGCAATGCATGCTGGGTAAATGACAGACAGGTTGCTCCTGCTCAAGCACCATTCAGCTTGAATGTTTGGACAATAACTGATGTTCGGCCCTTTCATTTAAAGTGGAGCACGTTGACGGAGGAGAATGGAGAAATGACTCGGCTTTCACATTAGCCCCTGAGCTAATATATGTGACGTTAGCCCCTGAGCTAATATA